CCTCACCTTTTAGTTGCCTACAATATCAGTTCCATCCTGTATCTAAGACCTAGAGGACCAGGGGTGCAAGTGACCACTGGGCATGGATGCAGACCTGCAGACCCATCCACCCAGGACAATCTCTCACTTTTTTTCCCTCCTTATCTAGTCTCTGGCTGTGGTAAGCTGTTGCCTGCCCTGCCCTATGCTGTTCCTTGTGCACACTGCTGTCACCCACACACACCTGATTAGGGGGATCGAGTGACTTACAGGGGCTTCTCTTCCCTAGGGTCGGAATTTGCATAGGGTGATGGATGCTGAGATGTCTTCTGAACACAGCTGTACTTTGCATATTAAACAAAGCAATTTCCAGGGGGAAGCTGGAGGAGCTTGGTCTCCTTCCAGGAATGTTTCCTCAGAGTCAAAGTCCCTCCCTTCCAGCCAACACTTTCCCCACTGGGGTCCCTCTCATCCATTAGCCTCCTACCCCTCCCCCATTGCAGGGACCCCAGTTTGGCCGCATAGGGCACAGAATGAAGAAGGACACAGGCCCCTGACCAGGGCCAGGCCAGGGTAATCCAGCTTTCCTCTGTACCTAATGCTAAGATCCCCTCCCCAGTCCCCACCTCACAGGAGCCCAATGACTAGAAAAGCAGGGGAGCCTTAGCTAGTGCCTGCTCCCAAGAGACCCGGCTCAAGGATCGCAAAATCTCTGCCATCTCCACCCCCATGCCGCAAGCCCAGGGCTGCCCTCTTGATCTGTCTGGGATGTCTGGAGACAGGTACTCCTGTCTGACCACTAAGCTTGGACGTTGCATAGTTGAGATCACTTTTGCTTTGAATGAATCTAAGCTTTTCCCCCCCAAGGACCTTTAGGATGATGGTTAAAAAAAAAAAAGTCACAATACCAACCACGAGGTTAGACTCAATGTTTTCTTTAAAGATGAACAGCAAAAAAATAAAATAAAATAAGGTTGAAAGTCTTGATATCTTTGTCCCATGAATGTGGGCTGAAGGCCACAACAGGGTTTGAACTTAGTTACTCCCATGGGGCATGGCTTAGGGTAGTCACTTAACCATCAAACCAGTATAGCAATGCCTCCTCCAGTGGCCCCACTGGTACACACAGGCTGTGTGGCACCTAGGGGTCCTCCAAGAAATGTTTAGAATCCTTCCCAGACACACTTGTCCTTATGGATATGCCTATGAGCTAGCCCTGGCAGGGTGTGAGCTGATATCTGTGGCTAGAGATGGCTTCTGTGGCTCCATCATAACCAAGGAAGATGTGAAGATGGAGGCATTTGTTGAGTGGCTACTATACACTCAATTCTTCAGTCACTAGCCAGATTTAGGATATGGGGGTTCAAGGGAGAGACTTGGTTCGGACTTCTACAATTCTGAGTGTGAAACTGTTCTCTGTAACCTTAAGGTTGCTGAAATCTTGTTCCCTATAAAGTAAAGGCTGTGGTCGCCGCATCAAACACATGTGGGATCCAGTGAGAATCCTGTCAACATTGGTCATGGTTGGCTGTGCCCAGTGTGAGGCTCCATTACCCAAGACTAAGGGGAGAAGGTATGCTGGCTCCTGGGATCCTGTCATCCTTGAACCAAAGGTCTTGCCTCGTTCCTGTAACCTGTGGTAGATCTGACCCATCACTCCATGCTCCGGAACTCGCCAATGTTTGCCGCTGTTCTTCCCACACTGCTGGACAGCCTCAAGGCTGACAAAGCCAGGACCCCTACCATATGTGGTCTTCTCTCTTTCCCATTCACCTGCTGCCATCAATCATCGAGATGGTTCAGCGGGCAAAGGCGCTTGCCGCCCAGTGATGAATGCCTCATGACCTGAGTTCAATCCCCACAGCCTATATGACGGTGGAAGGAGAGAGGTAATTCCATAAGGTTGCCTTCTGACCTCCATGTGCACGCCATAGCACGCACACCCACGCCCACATCTCACACCCACACACAAAATAATAACAATGCAATTTTTAAAAAATGAAGCTGGATATGGTGGCTCACACCTTTAATCCCAGCACTGGGGAGGCAGAGGCAGGTGGATCTCTATGAGTCCATAGCCAGCCTGGTTTATATAGTGAGTTCCAGGCCAGCCAGGGCTCTGTAGAGAGACCCTGTCTCAAAAAATAAAATAAAATAAAAACAAAATAAAAAAGCAATTAAAGGAAGTGAAAGTCAATGATAAAAAACAGAGTCTAGAGAGCTTCCGGGCACTCACACTGTTCCTGAGTCACAGCTCTGATTTTTCCCAGGAAAGATCTTTACTACAAGATGCCTTTGGGCTCATTTCTCTTGCTGGCAAATAATGATATACAAGGAGGCCACTGAGTCCTTACTTCTCTACAAAGCAGGGTTCAGAAGAGGAATTACCTTTATCACGGTCCTCTTGTAGCCAATGCAGACATGTTCCTCAATACTGTTTTTCTACACACACACACACACACACACACACACACACACACACACACACTCACATACACCCCTATGGTAAAGGTACAAGTAGTACTAATGAATACAACAATCAACAATACGATGCAGTAAAAGTTGTTTAAAATTGGGTGCATGCCTTTAGTCCCAGCACTCGGGAGGCAGAGGCAGGTGGACCTCTGAGTTCCAGGCTAGCCTGAGAAACCCTGTCTTCAACATACACACACACACACACACACACACACGCCCACACAGTTATTTAAAGCTTGCAAGCTGCTTATTGTTGGAATTTTCCATGTAAGGGTTTTCAGACTGGTAACTGGTAACTAACCTTGCAGCAGGTGGGGTTGGCAGAGTGGGCCCGTCTCTGCACAGTGGAGGTTGTGAGTCGGGCGGGGGTGAAAGGGAACCCACAGCCGGCAAAGGCTTTCATGCCGAATCTGTTATTGAGGAAGCTTGTGCCATTTCCTAGTTAGCTGGCACACCACTCTTTGCCCTGATGGTGTCTCCCTAGACAAGCAATAACACCTTCCACTTCTCATGGATTCCTCTACCTGGCCCTGAACCTCCCATCAAGTCTTCCCAACCTCAACAGATACCAGTCCCGCTCTTCCGCTCTTCCAGCTCGTGTGTGTGTGTGTGTGTGTGTGTGTGTGTGTGTGTGTGTGTGTGTGTGAAGAGAGAGAGAGAGAGAGAGAGAGAGAGAGAGAGAGAGAGAGAGAGAGAGAGAGTGAGTTATGGTCGATTCTTCTTCCTCCTCCACCCCCCTCCCCAAGGAAGCAGCATGGATATCTGTCGTGTGTGTCCCAGTGTGCTGGAATTAGAGGACAGACTGTGGTAGGAACCCTGTCGGTGGCTTTCGTAGTTCATTGAAGGCTGGCCATGCTCTGAGCTGTCCACAGGTATGGGGTCTGTTCCTCTGCAGTTGCTTAGTGGCATGCCCTTGAGTGGGATTCACTCACCCCCGGATGACTAGTGATTCCTCAAGGAAGGGGCCCCAAACCCTGGGGTTCAGGATGAGGCCCAGACACTTCCCACATTTGCAGTGAGATTCTCCCCACTCCCTCCCAGGGTATGAAATCAAAAACCCACAGCCTCTTGCTACCATGAAAGAGGTTAAAGAAGAAGACAGGATTGATTCAGAAAAGCTGAGCCACTCCCCAGGGGTCCTCCAGGCCATGCCAGCTTGGAACTGATGAGGCACCCAGCCTTGGGGACTGCAAAGTGACAGCGTCCTCTGTATGACAGCCCCTGTGTCATGTGAGCCAATCTAATAAACCTCCTTTAAAAAAAAAAAAAGTCGAACCGGAATTACATTGAATTTACAACTCTGGGTCAAACCTGATCCAATGTCCTGTCCCTCCTACTTCGGTGAGGGACACACACACACACACACACACACACACACACACACACACACACACATCTCCTCCCTCCCTCTGTAGAAATAATTCCCCATAAGCCAATTAAGATGGGATGTCTTTTACTTGTAACAAAAGGCATCCAGTTATAATCCTTCCAGGTTCTCCTGGTGTTGGCAGGCGAGCCTGGGGCTCTGCTTGGGTCAAGCCATCCACACTCCCCGCTCCCAACAAGCTGCAGATACATCCCATTTCAAACAAAGAAGTAAGCTGTTCCTTCCCTAGCAACCCCTTTGTGACTCCTCTTTTGTGGTCAGTGACTATTCAAACATATCCCAGGACCTATCTGGAAACTAGAGACCAAGCACCAATATAGGCTGAACCGGTTTTGAGTGCATACACCCTATTTACCATGTTATGCCTACGTACAGGTGAACATGCACATGATTAAAACCAGATGCATCACGGGCATATGAGCAGTGAGTGAAGTCTTACATAATCGATGTGTCAATGGAAACAGGGAACCACTCACCTCGTGCCCCTTAGCAACCATCTCCTCCTGCCCATAAAAGGAGGTCCTGAGCAGTCACCAGGGGCCTCTGAGTACTCAAGGAGCCTGCTGCAAAGCAGCCCTCTGCTCTGTACTATCACTTTGCTCCTGGGTGAAGTTCCTTCTGACTTTGCAGCTTGGGGGCACTTCAGTTCTTTGAACAAGGCACTGGGGACTTGGAAACATTCAGTCTAGGTCGTGACATGAAGCAGCCTAGGCAACTGCTGTGCTCCACGTGGGGCGGATACCCCACCTCTATGGTACCCGTGGAAAGGTGCCTCGCAGAGGGCAGTAGCGGGGCTTCCCTGACCAGCACAGATGTCTCAAGCCGTACTCCCGACTGCTGCCGATTACACTTTATGTCTTGCAATGCCAGGGATTGAATTGGTCTCTTGCATGCTAGGCTAAGTATTACTCACATTTACATTAGCCACGTTACCTGTCCCCCAGGCCCCCCAGGCCCAGGTACTTTGTACTTCTTCCCTGGCCTCTCCAGTTATCAACGCGAGTCCTAAGGGTGATGCTGTCCAGAGGGCAGTGTACTCCCACAGACAATGCATGAAAAACTCAACACACCTTTCCCTATTTATTAGATTCCAGATACATGGGACTGGATGGGAGAACCCCAGGGCATGTGATTTTACACGGGGGGGGGGGGGCGGCGGGGGCTGTGGGGGAACACATACAAGAATTACATACAGGAAGGTAAGGCGGCAGGAAGGACTGCCGGTTAAAAAATATATACATCTTAAGCCATTCCAGCCACGCTATCATTATCAGAAAATAAAGCAATCTCTCCACATAGTGCTTCTCTTTGGTGCTGTTCCACGGGCTTGGACTCTGGGCCCTCCGGTCTCCTCATCACAAGTCTGTCATCCTCGCCGGCCATCTGGCTCCCATGGGTAATGGAGTCTGGAGGAAGGACCAGGCAGATAGCATAGGCTCTGACCCTGCTGACCCCCAAACAAGAACCTCTTAATCCTTAGTTATGGCCCTGGAGTCATCAGTGTATGAAAAAAACCGGGAGGCATGACAAAACCATCCAGAACCTTCAGAAAGGGTAGGGGGGGACAAAGGAATGAAATCGATCCCAGCCAGTACCTCCTCCAAGATTGGTTTGATTTCTTGGTTTGAAGTAACCTGTATCTGAGGATACGGCTGTGAACGGTGATCTCTCTAAGCATTCCAGGAATGGTAGCCTGTGGTTTTGCTCTGAATAAGGGAGTTGGGCGATGGAGAGACGTCTCTCACTTTTCCCTGTCCTGAGCACCCTGGCCAAACAGATGTCACCCATCTGGCTAATCTTTGAACGAGTTGGCTCTCCCTTCTGACTCAGGTTCCCAGGTGACCCTGCTTTCCCACAGGGCACTCCACTGTCACTAGTATATTCTCTTTGCTTGTAAATACAGCTTCTATCTCGGGGCAGAGGGTCAGCAGCCCCCTCGGGTGAGAAGGGTTCCGTTTAGGGGGCAGTTGCATTAGTAGACCATGGACACAAAGCTGCCCACTTAACTGCTCCCAAGCAGTGTCCACTCAGCCAGCTGCAGGCATTTGTCCTACCTTGCTGGTATGGGAAGGAGGCCCAGCTGAAGTGCTGAGGACTAGGTGGGATCACTTTTGGGGTAACACCCTCTTTGCACAACTCTGGGACACAGCAGTGTGGCTGGGAGTGGCTGGGAGAGGCTAGGATCTCCAAGCCCAGCTCCTAAGGGTTAATCCAGTTCAGTACAAAAGTGTTATCTACCTTGGATCAGGGACTAGGAGAGCTCAGGCGGAGGCAGGGATGCCTGGACATCCACTCATCCAGTGGCTGTGAGATGCACTTCCTTGTAGGCAGAGGGACAGGGAGAGGGAGGCTGTCCTAAAAAAGTTTAGCATTAACTCTGGGAAGTGGCCAGCCTCTAATCTGGAGTCCCTGCAGCTCCTAGAGATGTCACCAGGGACGCAGAGCTGGTAGCAGTCGGAGGTGACAGAAAGCCTGAAAAAGGGGACTAATGCATTGCAGGAAGGGGTCAGAATAAGTGTGGCCTGGGGCATTCCCCAGAATGAACGCCTTCAGCTCTGCCAACCCCTAAACACCAGTGAGAGCTCAGGACTGCCCCTTGAGTGGGTGAATCAGAGGAAAACTTGGTCTATGTGCCCAGGACTAAGGGATTTATTAAGACAGAGCCTCTCAGGAAGAGTGGGATGGGTTGGTGGACCACCTTACACAACAACAGACCACCAGGTCTTGCCAGGCATTGACCCAGGAGGGCTACACCCAACAACCCCAGGTGTAAATGTCAACAGACTACCCTCCTGTGGCACAAAGCCTTGCCTTTCTGAGGTAAGGGAGGAGTCGGGAGGGGGGCCTTTAGAGCTCTTTCCTTTCCAAGATGTCATTCCATCTTCTTCCCTCTACTGATGGGCCTCTCTATCCTACACCCCAACCAAGGATGCTAACCTTGAGTGAGGGCCCCCGAGTGCCCTCTGATGGGGCCAGGTTCTGAACTTTCCACAGGTCTCTAGACTGGCCATGCCGAGGAAGAGGAGGAGGAGGAGGAGGAGGAGGAGGAGGAGGAGGAGGAGGAGAGGAGGAGGAGGAGGAGGAAGAGGCAACAGGAGCAGTGGGTACAGGACCCAGCTCTTTACTGAGCCAGTGAGTTCCCGGGTACATGTCCTGGAGTTACCTAGGCTGGCTGAGGTAGGGGCAGGAAGCAGGGGAGGGGCTTCTGGGGGGGGGCAGGTGGGATGTAGCCACTCGGGGCTGGCAGGAGCACCAACTGGACCCTAGGTGTAGCAGGACAAGGGGAAAGGTGGAAGGGGAGGGAGCCAGCTGGATCGAGGGGGTACAGAGCCTTAGGAGCAGCCACAGACCTCTACAGAAGCAGGGCCTTTGGAGACACTCCTGCCCCAAGGGACTTGCCCTCTCTGACACCAACACCTCCAGAAGAACCCACTCGAAGTCTTTTGGGTCCTGGACACTAAGCTCTGCTCATCCAGGTTACATCCAGGTCCTGAATGGGGAGGGGTCTGGAAATGGATGCGCTGCCTCTTGGGTTGTGGGGAAGGGTGCTTCCTCTGGTGGTCTCCAGCCCTAAGGGGAGTCAGCCCTGGCCCAAGCCTTAGCACTGCCCATGGAGAAGGAAAAAATACCAAAGAAAATGCGGGTGACAGATGAGCCCCCCGCCCCCGCCCTCCCATCCCCGTCTCCCCATCTGCTGTCCCCCAGGAGTCTGCACATGGCCAGGAAGCAGGAAACCTCTTCCTCTGGGACAGCTCAGAGCCCCCGATGCAGGTGTGGAAAGTCGAGGCTGGTGGCTGTGGAGGTCTCCACCATGGATCGTGTCCATCCATCCATCCATCCGTGTGCTGGTGGGCCATCACACCTTGGCCTCCAGCATCTCCAGGAAGAGTTTGTGCATGGGCACCTTGCCCTGCAGTTTCACGCTGTAGAAGTGCTGCACGGCTTTGGCCGCCGTCTGCCGCAGCAGGGGCAGCGTCAGCAGCAGCTTGCCCGTCCTCCGGGGCTCCTCATGGCGCTGGCTCAGCTCGTAGTCCTGCAGCGCCTCATGCAGCAGGTCCTGCAGCTTCTGCACAGCCTCTAGGTCCTCAATGTACATGGAATCTGCAGACACAGGAGAGGGTGTCAGCGTCAGCAAGGGTTTGGCTGCTCCAGGGCGGAAGGCACATCGGGAGTGGAAGCCAGACCAGCAGGCAGCAGCAGGTCTACCTTCAAAGACTGACTATTGAAGAATAAGGGTCTTCACTTTAGGGCTGAGTCAAGAGACCGATGATGGCACTGGGCTCGTCCCCAGAGAGACCACCAGGAGGGTACCGAAAGGGCTTGAACATGGGCAGATCTGTTGGATACCCTGGAGGTATCCAGGGGACCCTGGAACCTGGCCGGCAGGGTTAGAATCTTATGTCCCTCACTTCCAGGCTGTGAGACTTGGGGCGAGTTACTTAACTTCTCTATCTCCCATTTTCCTAGTCATACCTACCTCACAGCGTTAAGGGGGTTATACAGGCTAAGGGTTTGGAGCAAGCAAGTGCCCATGTCACAGGAGTCTCACCACCGTTACTACTGGCACCATCATGTCTTTATGATCTGCTGAGCCATGGGTATCACCCATCTGCGGTGTAGCCAACCTCACAACTCTGGCTGCAGAACATCTGATATAAAGGGGCAGAAATCAAGGTCAAGCTGCTTTGGGGGGGATGGTGGTGAAGGGAGTACAGGGTCATGGTGACAGAGGGCGCCAGTGGGAATACAACTCAGTGATGGGTGCTTGCCTAGCATGCTCAAGGCCTCGGGTCTGATCCCCAGCACTGCATTGGGTCAGAATGTAGCCCACGAACTCACCATCTGAAACACTGGGATAGAGTTGGGCTGGGTCTGAGCAGAACAAAGAGGATCTCCAAGAACCTGTCCTGTCGGGGAACTACCCAGCCACTTTCTGTTACCATCTTGTACGGCCCCCATGAACTGCAGCCCCAAAGCTTGTTGTATGGGCACAGGGAGCTGAGCCAACCTTGTGGATTCCTCAAAAGAGCAGGCAAGTCCAGAGCATGCTGGGTGGCCTGACACCAGACTGCTAAGGCAGCTGCACCAGTTGGCTGGTCCCAGTGATGCTCTGGATTCCCCTGGGTCTCCTTCCAGTCTGTACTCTCCAGAGTCCCTGCAGGGTTGGACCCTAGCCACCTCTGACCCCATTTCCCATCCTGTCACCCTCCCCACGGAGCCACAATTGGCAGGTGCTTTCAACCGAAAATGAAATAAAATAACACTGCAGGATCAATTTCTTCACAATCCATCAGCGAGTTTGTATCAATGGCATTGATAAACTGTTAATTACAAAATCAATAGCTATGAATTTTTTTTTCTGCTGTCAAAGAGCCCTAGAGATGGCGAGGATGCAGGTGAGTGACAGCGGGCATACTCTCAAGGGGCTGGGTCAGCCTCTGATGAGCTCTGTTCTTCTGCCAGGTCCCTGAGTCACCCCATCTACTTAGCCCCAGGGGCCCCTGTACTGATGCCAGGAAACCTCAGTGGTCTGGCTATCCCTTCTCCATCCAACATGCGCTGTAGGCTCCTGGGTGACTGTCCTGCCCTGAGGCTATAACCTGCAAGGTCCATGTCCAACAGCTCTTCCTTCCTGGACCACAAGGCACTAGGATCTTTGAAACCAATGGAAGATAGGAGTAAGGAGTCTCTGGGGGCAAGCAAGGGCCACTGCCTGGGTGGGTGGTATACACCTTCCAATATTAGAAGGCTGAGGCAGGAGGAGTCTTAGGCCAGCCTGGGATATACAGTCAGTCTCAGGCCAGCCTGGGCTTACAGAGTGAAATGGTCTCCAAACCCAGAGAGATGCCAATCATTATTGGCTTGCTAATTATAGCAAATTACCTAATGCAAGATATTAACAGTGGAAAGAGCATGCTGAGGGTGAGGAGAAGCGGGATGACATAGTTCTGATGCAGACTGCTGTGCTGTGCTGTGCGGAACCCACATTGGCTGACAATGCCTGGGGGGGTTGCAGGGGGGGAATTGATGACATCAGGAAAGGCACCAGAGGGGTAAGTCTGGGGAGCTAACAACAACAAAACCCACGTGGCTGAGGGTGAGAACGCTACGGAGTAACGTGGGTCTGAGCCATCAAGTGTCCCTGTATGTGCTCCAAAGCCACAGAGTGACCAATAGTCCCAGTTTGTCAGCCACTCAAGGAACTCCTCGGATATGAGACTTTCCAGGGAGAGCTTGGCACGCACAGAGAAGCAGCAGTCTGCCTGTGTGTATGTCTCTACCTGGGAGCCAGCTTTCCCTCATCTGTGTGCTGGGAACACTATTTCCTCTGACATTATAAGAGCAGTGACAATCGTCAATATTTACTGAACTTTCCTCTAGGCCAGGCACTGGGCTGCATTATCCTCGGCTGATCTTTAATATTCACAGGTGCTTGAAGGAGGTACTGGGAAGGCCTCCCACTCAAGGACAGAGCTAACCAAGGTCATGCTGTTAGTGTCAGGGATAGTGTATGTGTGTGTGTGTGTGTGTGTGTGTGTGTGTGTGTGTGTGTGTGCACATGTGTGTGTGTATGTGTGAATGTGTATGTGTGCATGTGTGCGTGTGTGTGTGTATGTACCACATGTGTGCAGTGCCAGTGGAGGCCAGAAGAGGGTGTTGGATCCTCTGGAGTGGAATTAGAAGTTTGTGAGCTGCCATGTGGGTGCTGAGAACTAAAACCAGGTCCTCTGCAAAAGCAGCCAGTGCTCTTAATTGCTAAGCCATCTCTTCAGCCCCAGAGATAGAATTTGAACTCAGGTCCATCTGGCCCAGGTCAGAGCAAGGAACTCTGCCACGTACTGCCCTACAGCAGGGTTGTGATTGTATATGCACATGTCTAGCACTATTCTCACCCAGACACCCTGTATTTCTCCCTGTCCCTAGCACCCAGCAAACGACCTCCAGTAGGACAGAGGCTCTAAGTGTGGACAGATCCACCCATTACCCAGTGCCTCGCCCAGGTAGTCTAGCTGAAGTTGTAGGAATTTTAGGAAACTGAATAATCTCAAAACTTTTTAATGCTAGACAACCATCCACATGGGAGGTTAGATGTCTGTGTACCCAGGTGATGTGATGGGAAGGTTCAAAGAGCAGTCTAAGACTGTGTTACCCGAGAATTCGATGACCTTGTCTTGGATCCTAACTCTGACACTTTTTTTTCTAATTTTTTAAAAAATATATTTTAGGACAGGGTCTCACTAATGTAGCCTGGAACTCACTATGTAGATCAGGCTGGCTTTAAACTCACAAGATCCTCCTGCCTCAGTCTTCTTAGTGCTGGGATTAAAGGCCTCTGCCACGACATCTGGACTAACTCTGACATCTTTAAACAGTGTGTGACTCTGGACAAATTCCCAGCCTCAATTTCCACATCTATAAAATGGGATTATAATAAGAATTAATGTGCATCATGTCATAGCCAACTTAGCAAGCTGAGCACTCACTACTGTGTGCTGGGTATGTGGTTAACATAATGATGCATAAATATGCTGTGGAGTGAGCACTGCTTATTTATGGTCACCTAGGCTCAGAAGGATGCAACATGCTCAAGGGGTAGGATGCAGACACAGCCCTTAGCGACGGACTCAGAATCTGCATCCTTTGGTTTCCGCCAGCAGAAGGCCTAGGAAACACAAAACCAGCACTGGCCTCCACGACGATCCTTTCAACTCCAGGCCACCCTTGCAGCGTGGGGTGGCTTAAATGAGAAATGTCCCCACAGGCTCATGTACGTGAATGTCCTGTCCCCCGGTGGTGGTGTATGGAACCTTCAGGAAGTGGAGCCTTGCCAGAGGAGCAGCTTTGAGGTTTATAGCCTCATTCCACTTCCTGTTCGCTCCCCCTGCTCCCTTGTGTGTGGATGAAATGCCGCCTCTCTGCTTCCTGCTGCCACACCAAGCCTTCTCTCCCCATTCCGGTGATGGACTCTATCCCTCTGGAGCCCTAAGCCCAAAAATAAACCCTTTCTTCTGTAGGCTGCTTTTTATCACAGGAAGAGAAAAGGACTAACGGGCAGTGTTCGCCAATGACAGCAATGTTCATCACCCCATACCCATCCCAGCCAGCCCCGCCCACAGCCTGAGCTTGCCAGGCTCCCAGGCCACCATTACCTGAGTTGGCTAGAGCCAGGGCCTTGAGCGTCACAAACTCCTCCTTCTCGACCTTGAGCTTCTTGTACCTGCGTACCAGCTGCAGGATGGCTCGGTAAAGCTCCAGCAGCCCCGCCAGTCGAGAGTGCTCCTCGTCCATGATATAGTCCTCCGCGTACACCAGCTTATCATCATAGGGCAGCGAGCGGTACACGATGCCCAGGATGAGGATCTCCATCCAGGCACTCTGCAGCAGGCTCATCTGGTCCCCGAGTGACAGATTCGAGAAGCCTACAGAATGGGGAGAAAGAGGACAATGATCAGAAGTGGGCCCAGGGTCTTCCCTGGGGCTTGCTAGAGGGCAGACTGGGGGAGGGGGTGAAGTGGGGAGACTGTGTCCTTGCATCTCCAGACCCTTCTCGGGGTGGGGGAACCATGTGATGCTGCTTCCACCCCCTGGGTAAATGAGTCACACCAGAATTCATGGGAAAGACCTTACATAATAAGACTGGGTCAATGTTGACAGTTACTATCACTATGCTTGTTGGTTCTAGGTCTTTCCCAGTATCTGGAGATTAATTAGGTGCATATGTCATGGAAGGAGCTGCTGAACTAATAGCAGGATTTGAGGGTGGCCTCCAACACTCTGCTCCCTCCCGGGAGTCTCTCTGTTTTAAAATAATTCTGATTCTAATGCAGTTTCCAGCCAAGAAGGAGGATTCAGTTGTCCATTGGCCTGGGCAGAAGCTCCTGTGACCAAAGGCAGAGGCTGCCGGGAGGGGAAAGCTCCATAGACAGACAACCTGTCAGCCCATGTGTCCAGACTGGCTGCCTAGACTGTCACTTAAGACTCAGCAGATACGCTCTGGAAGCTAGCACTCATGGACACTATGCACTCCCTCCAGTGAGGAGAAATGGGGGTTAAGAGGGCTCCACAATCATGACACTGCCTTGTCCAATGTGCTGTGGGAGATGATCTGGGCTTGACTCTGACTGCCCATGGTCAGCTGTGGGCTGACCATGAGGAGGCCATGCAACTTCTGCAAACCTTGACCTCCCCGATCTCTCGGTCCATGAAATGGGCCGGAGAGCAGAGGGCACTTCCGAGTGGCTATGAGCTACACGGATGGATGATGACAGATACGCGAGCTCTTATTAATGCTGAGACGAAGGCCTGCGTCTGCCAGATGACGGTGACATGCTGGGACTGCACTGTGTGTGGACTTGATTTAGGCAAAGTCAATTAACAGCCTGATTTACGAGAAGGCCACGGAGAAGAGTAAGCCTGCTAATTTCAAACATCATAACCACTAAACAGGAGGCAGTTAACTTCTCAGGGGGGCTCATCCAGAAACGGGGAGATTAGTCTTAACTCAAGCAAGCTAGATTTATTGAGAAGGAAATAGCTGGGCACCAGTACTTGGGAGGAGGATGTGGAGTTCAAAGCCAGCCTTGACTACACAGGACCCCCGTCTCAAAACAAACAAAACAGGGCGAGAAATACAGGGCAGTTGTGGAGTGCCTGCCCGGCATGTGTGACGCCCTAACTTTAACTCCCGGTGCCTGGGGTGGGGTGAGAGGAGAAGAGAATCCACAAGCCATCTGCACCATGTTCTGTGTGCAACTGAAATTAAGGAAATCTGTTTCTGGGCAATTCTGCTAATGAAAGAATTTGCTAACTTTGGACGAATCCCTGCCTACTCATTGCTTGTGATGTGTGGGTGTCGTGAGGATGAAAGGGCATGTATGAAGCAAGACCCCACACCACTTGTGGCGCACAGTGAGCCACCATCCCCCTGCCCAGGATGACTGAGGAAGCCGCCACTACCTTTATTAGTGCAGTCATTACTACTTCCTTCTCTTTGGACTTGCCCGGTTCCCGGATGGCCCATCTCTTAGGGCCAGTGGGGGTGACTTTCCTGCTACCCACCCAGGACAAATGCCTTTCCTCTTGGGGGGTACCCCTGAAGTTAAAGGCCAATGACCTCATCTTTATTTTCTAAGTCTCGCCATTATGAACCCTGAACCTGTCCATACATCCTGTGCCTTGGATCACACCACCTGGCTGCCAGACTCTAGAGGTGACCAATCACAGAGGAGGCTGTACCCACCACCTAGGGGGAACTTTGGTGACTGCGCCTCCTTGGGGGGACATGACAGGACACAAGGGTTAAGTTGTACGTCCGTTGCTACCCACGTCTCCAGTACCACAGAGGGTATGTGGCGGCCTGTGGGGGCCCAAGAAGCCGGAGGTAATAAAGGATAGATAGAAATGGACATTCAATTTCCCTTATCAGGTCCATGAGTAGGAGAGAGGCTTTGGTGACATTAATTAGCAGATACCAATCAGCCAGCATGGGAGGGTGTGGGTGGGGAGGAAACACACTGCACCGGGAGGGGATGGACGGGAACAGAAAGACCGAGGAGGATGGAGGCGGCACACGGGGAATTAACAGACAATGAATCGGAAGGCAGTGGAGAGGGTGTGCATGAGGCACAGCCAGGCTCTGGGGATACAAACAGCCTGCCAAGACTCATCCCTCAGGCACGATCTCTGGAAGAATGTCACAAGCAGGCTTCTGTCCCTCTCGGCGCCCCATGGAGACCGATGGTTTACTCAAACCATAACTCCCAGCCTCCGAGGAGTACCGTGGAGAAGATGTCACAGGTCACTAAATGTCATCAACCAACATGGTGGCGCACGCCTTTAATCCCACCACTTGGGAGGCAGAGGCAGGCGGAGCTCTGAGTTTGAGGCTAGCCTGGTCTGTAGTGTGAGTTCCAGGACAGCCAGGGCTACACAGAGAAGCCCTGTCTCAAAAAACAAGAAAGAAGGAAAGGAAGGAAGGAAGGAAGGAAGGAAGGAAGGAAGGAAGGAAGGAAGGAAGGAAGGAAGGAAGGAAGGAAGGAAGAAGGAAGAGAGAGAGAGACAGACAATGAGAGAAAGGAAGAAGAGCTGCAGTGACTGGAAGGTTCTGAGACCATGCAATGATAGAGTTGCTCAAGGACAGCCCAGGGAGACCCTGCACAGGTGACCTGGGGCCTGTGTTCTAAAGGGACACTCACCGGGCGTACAGACATGCTCCTGAGCCCTAATCTCCAAGAGCCTGGAATGTGCAGACACCAGACACGGGGCCGCTTGCCTTCCTGCCCAGGCTCTGCCCACCCAGCCTGATAAGTAGTCACAGCAGAGGACAGACAGACAGATGCCGTGGCCTGACCCTGGCACAGCAGGAAAACAACCTCAAACACTTGCTCAGAGTTTATACCCTGTCATGTAAGGGTCATGTAAGAGGCTGGCCTGCTCTAGGGGTTGGGGCGGGGCAGACAGCCACTTAGAAAATTCTTTGCTGCTGTGAGACAGCGCACTCAGAAGGCTAGCTTTCAACCTCTGGCCCAGCAGAGTGTGCCCTCTGAGCAGCGGGCTCACCTTCTGGGGAGAGAATGCCTTCTCCGTCCTGGACAGAGTTCTGAAACCATTTTAATGCTTTCTAATACTCGAGAAAAACACTAGAAGGGCAAACAGGAGTAGACATGATTAGCTCCAGGAGAGGACCGGGTGGCGGAGGAGAAACACGGCACTGTTAATCACATTCAGAAAGTATGCCAGGCAGAAAAAACGATGAAAATGCAATTTGTGATACATGTACTTATTACATAAACACAACAGTTAATAAACGAACCACCACAAAGTGTGAGGGGGAAACTATTTGTGTGGATGTGCACACACAGGCTGGAGGCACAGACTCCAGAGCCAACTGGTTACACCAGCCACTCTGCTGACCACTGGAGGTGACCCTAGGCAAGGCCGCCTCCGACCCGGTGTATCTACACTCCTCCGTAAAATGGGACCGAGGACACCACGTCACGGGGGCCGAGGTGAAAGGTGTGCACACACAGAACACTTCTTGATCTGCTTAGCACACAGGAAGTAGAGAAGTATTTAACGTCATCACATGATACAGTAGGGGAACAGAGTGTTAAAATGTGAGCCTGTGGGGGAGGGAACACACGGTGGCTGGCTGTACACACACAGGGAATTCCCGGAAGGCTCCCACACGGTGGGGCCGTGGAGGTTTTCATGTTCACTTCTGGTATTTGCACGAGAAGTAGATTCTCTGTCATTTAAAACCCAAGCAGCTGGTGCGCCCCTCCCCACCTTCGGGGAAAACACCCCCACTTGTATTTCCAATTGGGCTGGGCCTCCATCACCTGGGATCTGGGCCAGCAAGGCCCCTCCCTGCGGCAGACAGTCTGAGAGAGGCTCTGGCGGCCTGGGCTCCGGACCAGCAAGGCTGACCAGCTCTCCCTATAGCTCATCCTGGGAACACTGCCCAACCCAGGGCCCCTGGCTCACAGGTCTTCCTTCTAGGGCTCCAGGAAAACTGTGTTATCTACACCAGTGGGTCTAGTAACAGCTGGGCCCATCCCCCATGACACTATGCGCTCCTAGAATAAAAAAAAAAAAAAAAAAAAAAAAAAAAAAAAAAAAAAAAAAAAAAAAAAAAAGCAGGTAATTTGTGGCAAGTGGAGTTCATAATCTGCTAATTTATGATGGTCTCTGCCGACCTGGAGAGCCATTAGAGAGGTAATAAAGGGAGATGTAATTATAGGATCCGGGGCCACTTCAGACACAGCTGCTGTCACTCGGCAGCTCATCCTTCATCCAGCCAGACGGGCGGTTCCCCAGGAGCAGGCTGTCCAAAGAGCCTTCCTGAAGAGGCCTCTGGGGATCCCCTGCACACAGCACCCTGGGCTGGGCACTAGTGATGAGTCCCGTGAAGGCTCTCCTGGCCAGGGTGGAGCCCCAGCTGCCGGGGGGAGGCGAACAAGTGGCCAGTAACGCAGGGAGACCGCAACTCATGAGCACTACCAGCAGCCCGAGAGAGGCTGCTGCCAGCTGAGGCTCTAGTCTCTGGGTCACAGGGAGGAAGCGGTCGGTGCTGCCCGCGTGACTTCTAGGGCTTGCTCTCCAGGAAGCCCAGCACTTGGGAAATTCAACTCAAGCCCGAACTGCATTTCCAGCCCTGTAACCTCCAAGTGACCCAAGCCATAACTGAGCAAATTGCTATTCCGATGATCAGCCTGTGATCCCAGCACTGAAGAGGCGGAGGCAGAGGGTGCATTAGGATTCTGAAGCCAGCCAAGGCTGCTACACAGTAGCACCTTGTCTCCAAAACAGAAAATAAGCAGTAGTCCCTCTTCCGAGGTTTTAGTTATGCAAGGTCAACTAACCGGGTATGGAAATAGGAAGTAGAAGATTCCAGAATGAACGATTTTAAGTTTATCTGTGATCTGGTCCACCCTGCTCTACTCGGCTCCATACAGGAATCAGGCTGTTTTCTGGTGTATGGATGCTGTCTATGCTGCCCACCCGTCTGTCACGTGAAGCCACCTCAGTCGGGGTAATGCAGTACACCAATATGCTCAGGTGGTCCTCATTGCACTCACTAATGACCCCAGATACAGACACCAAGACATGAGTCACAGAAGGACAAATAAACTCCAGTGCAGTGATATTACGAAAATACAATATATATGGGTCTCAGACATAGCAACCTATTGGAGGTTTCAGGCTTCATGGGGTGGAGTCTTAGATCATCTCTGGTTAGTGGGCAGGGCACCCCTACAACTGTCTAAGCCACATACTGGGACAGACCCACTGTCCAGCGCTTATTCTGTAAGCATCAAGTACCCTCTGTGAGCCTGGTCATAGACCACAGACTGCAGACACTGTAGCCCGAGCCAATCCCCTGTCTAAAGACTGCTGCACAACTCTAGTCCTGGGCAGTCTGAAATCCTTCCTTCTGCGTGCCCCTGACCAGAATCGACACGACTCAACACGGTGTTGGTGCGGGCTCTAACATGTGAGCCCCCTAATCAATCTTCAAGTGCTTTCTTTCTCTCCGTAAGCCCGTCCTCAAATGAATTTTCCATCAGAAGTAGGATTAAGTCAATAATTTAAAAGTATCAGACACAAGGCTAGAGAGATGTTTCAGCGGTCACTTGCTGCTCCTACAGAGGGTGCAGGGTGGATTCCCAGTACCCACACAGAAGATCACAATCATTTGTGACTCCAGTTCCAGGAGATCTGACGCCCTCTTCTGGCTTCCTTGGGCACTGCATGCACATGGTGCACAGGTCTACATGCAGGCAAAACACCTAGTCATATACACATAAAAAAAAAAGGGGGGGACACTTGGTCTGTCCCTGCCCCTAGTGTGAGGTTTACAAATGGTGGCAGGAGACCCTTATTAATTACCCAAATGATTCAACATGCATATTTATGCAAAATAGTCAAGTCAGTGCATAAGACAAACAAGGGAGCCTCTGCTCACTTCACGTCCTCCTATTTATGGTTCTGGTTTCCTGAGACAGGGTCTCTTCTGCTAGGCAACCTGGCTGACCTAGAACTTACTATGCACAACAGACCGGCCTCAAACTGACGGCAAGCCCGCTGCCTCTGTTTTCGGAGTGCTGAGATTACAGGCATGAGCCGCCACGCTCACTCTGTTTCTCATGCACAGGAATCAGTCTTTGGAGAGGAAATGCTGGTGCAAAGTAGGCTTGTGTCACTACCGGTAACGGTGACAACCATGGCAGCTGTGGCAGTTTTGAGTGACGCCCTCCTGGGATTCCTAGTGGGGGCTTCTGGTATTCCCATTTTGAAGATGGGAACACTGAGGCTCAGAAAAACCTTACACAAGCCCCATAAGGCAGATCTGGGACAGCAGCCCTGCTGGTCTGGCTCCAAGCCTATGTCCCCAACAATCACCCTGCTTACCTGGCCCTCTAACTTGGCACAGATGTGAAAGAAAAATATACAAGCTAGGAGACTGAGTCTCCTGGACACTCCTTTCCCCCAGGTGTTATGAGGGCAAGGCCAACAAAAGGAAGATGTACTGATCCGGGAGACCACCAGGCGCCACTCCCGAGTTATCCCTCTGACACCGCACCTCTCTGACCCGGAACAGTAATCTGAGGGCTGGGCTGGGGTGGCTGTGCCCAATTTGGCTTGGGGTTAGTGGAGCAATCCAGGCTGAGGTGTCTTAAGCATCGGCCTGACGCCACATCTGTGCTGAGGCAGCACAGGGCAGATTTAAAAACTACTGAGTGTGTAATCCCAGGAGACTGAGCTCCTTACAAAGGACGCACTAGCCAGGTGCCTGGCCAACCCACCCAAGGCTCAAGAGTGCCAAGGGACCACCTCAGAATCCTCGAGGCGTGCCGCAGGTTAGTGTCGGCAACAGCATCTCCAACCCCTGTCCACAAGCCGGTGCCTTCCTGTGGGGCACACGTGAGTCTCACTCACACAGGGCTTGAATCACCTCGATCAACCGCTGGCACTCACAGGTTAGCACACCTCTGCTGTGGCGCCAGGTGTGTTATGGTCATCTTTTAGGGCCACGGCGGACAAAAAAAAAAAACATGTATAGACAGACAGACAAAGCCACGTATCATGTAGCTGGAAAGAGGAGGGGTTCACTGCCAGAGGTAGCAGTACGTCTCTGACTCAGTGAAGCCCAGTGCTGGAGCACAGGACAGGACCTTCAATTGTACAGAGAGAGGCCCCTGGCTGTGTGCTATATGGAATCAGACGGGCTCCCATTGTCCACCCAGACCAAGAGAGGCTCACAGTGGAGCAGAGTGAAGACTCCCTGAGGGCCTGAAATACACTGTGCATACACTTCCTGCCCCCGAAGCTTCGAGATCTCAACACTGAGACCAGGGAAAGCTCCAGCAGGTGACCATGGTGAGCTCACAGGTGACACTGGCCCACGATGGACTCCACACCTGGACCTCACAGCCTCATGTCACCCTGCTTAGTTTAACTACAAAGGTCGAGTTTCTCTCATACTCCCATGTCACAGGTCAAGTGGCAGGCTCAGGCCACACAGCTTCTGGGCCTAGAATCTGAACCTGACCCAACTCCCAAAGCCCTGCTCCTAACTAACCCCTTCTCTCTGCCCACAGCTACGGTAAAAGAAGGGAGCTGTTTTCCACTCTAATTCCAAAGAACTCTTCAGGAACAGCATGCTGATTTGACTTGTGGGTTCAAGGGACTTGTTCTTCAAATATTATCAATTCTCTACCCCTATTACAGGTCCTAATAAGGTGGCAGGTAATTCTGATGAGCCCCTGGCAGTTCATAAACATTACTGACCCTTCCGAATACTACTCCCCTCAATCCCATAGAAGAGAGAAGGGCCTTAAGTGGGGTGGCAAAGGTCTTCTAGGCCTCGTTGGGCCCGACACCAAACATCAAAGGCATATCTATGGGACTGGGGGAGCCTAGAGCCCCTTCCCACTCTTGCCCCCACCCCGCCATGACTCACCCGGGATGTGTTTGGCCCAGCCGATGATGACTACAAGCTCCCGGTCTGCCAAGTCACAGAGAGTGGTCAGGGCCTTGATATCTCCCTCAGGCATGCCAGGGGGAGGCATAGCGTACAGCTTGTCCGGTTCAGCCACCAGTAGATATGAGACGATCTTAGTCACTGTAATGAGCAAAGAGGGAGCACACAGTAAATGCCGGGGAAGAGGGGAAGGGTGAGGGTGAATGAAGCCCTGGGGGTCAAATGTGGCTGGCATCTGTCTGTCTCCTGACATCCCGAAGCTGCTGGCAGCAGTGATGAGGGCGCTGGGATGTCTCCTGCAATGGGAAGCCGCCCAGACGACCCTGGCATGGCAGTTCTAGAAGGGTGGGCCACGCATGGGGACAAGGTCTGGGTGCTGGGGCTCTTATTTCACATGGGGGCCAGCTCTGTGCCATTCCATACGGACGGGCCTTCTGATGAAGCCAGGCAATACCAGGCACCGTTGGCTGTCTTTAGATCCACACCACTCACCACCCACCAGAGGGAGGACAGAATAGCCCTAGAGGGTCGCCCACCAGCCCGGTGCTGCATCTGCCCAGGCCAGCGTGTTTCCCTGCATGTGCGGGATACCCTCAGGGGTGTCCCCCCCCCCCCCCCGCCAACTCCCCATAATAATTCATAACAGAGGATGCCAGGTATTCCAGGCTGAGAAGGGTAGGCGCGGCGGGGGGGTGGGGGGGCGCTGCCTGGTACACACTTGGCTTTTTAGCAGGTGGGGAAATCTGTAAGCTCAGGTAGGGTCCGTTCTCCGAGTCCAGCCGTCGCTTGTACTTCTGGCGCCCTCCACGCACTCGGTCAAGACGCACACCTGTCAGAGGAGAAAGATGTTGGTATCAAGAGCGGTTCCAAATCTCCAGGGGAGGAGGCATTGCTTTGGAACTGCAGCCCTGGCTGAGAGCTTCATGGCCATCCAGCCTCATGCCAGGAGGTGAGACATCATCTGAAGGAAGAGCCCATCTCCCATCCTGGTCCCGCCATCCTCCTAAAATCACCCCGAGACCTCTAGCCTCTGAGCCCTCACCTCTAAAAGCAAGGCACAATAAAGCCCTCTGCCAAGTGTCCTTATCTTGGTTCTGCTCTGTATCCAGGGAGGGCGGAGTTCACAAAGTTGGCAAAGAGGGGCTAGGGATGTAGGTCAGTTGGTACAGTGCAATGCCCAGCATATACAAAGCCCTGGGTTCGATCCCCAACACTTGCATAAAAAAAAAAAAAACACGAGTATAGTGGCATGTGCCTGTAATCCCAGCACTCAGGTGAAGACAGGGAGATCAGAAGTCCACGGTCAGCAACACAGGGAATCTACAGCTGGCCTAGGCTACATGGGATTGTCTCACAAGTAAAACGGCAGATGGAGAGAGAGAGAAAGCAGGGTGATTGCCTCGGCTTCTAAGTTCTTCTCAAGTTCAACCCCTGTTCTGTCCCCTAAAGGGAAGAGTACCCCCACCTCAAGGCCTGCCCTTCCCTTTCCCAGAAGACTTGCAGACCTGTTGGCAGTCTTGACCTGCCCACTCTACTCAGCCCATCCCAAGCTGCACGAGAGGAAGTCAAAATGGCCACTTGACAGACGGATGATTTCCATCCCATTCATACTCTTTGACAGTATGTACAACTAGTTACATCCAAACAGTCCTAGGGAAAAGAGGAAATTGCCTAGAGAATGATAGCAATTGAAAGTGACATGATTTTGTAGGTGGGACAATGCCTTTGGGGCACACCCACACCCAGTTTCAACAAAAGGCTACAGCTCACATCCTCTCCAGAGGGTGAAGTCCATACTGGAGCTTTGGAGGCAGGAGCCAAGCCCAACAAGAGGGAATTGATTCTTAGGGAGCTAGTTACTTCTCAGCCATGCCTAGTCCGTGGTCATCTCCAAAACTGGCCTTGAACTTGATCCTCCAGCTTCAGCCTCCAAGGGGAAGATTATAGGCCTGCGCCACCATACCCGGTCTACGCAGCTCAGGGGATGGACTGCAGGACCCCACACTCCTCTGTTCCAGGCCAACACACGCCAACACAGCTACATCTTCAGCTCATTAGCAGTCCTTTAATCTCACACTGGAACTTCTGTCACAAGCCTTGCTGCACAAGGCTGTGGGGAACACTACATGACGGGGGTGGGGTGGGGGGGGTGTGTGCTCAGCATCCCACCCCCGACTTCTACCTAATGGTTAATTCCCATTTGGAGGGGCGTCTTGTTGAGGTCCTGTGCTGCACTTCCCATGGTCTGGGTTCTTTATCCCCCTTAGAGGGGAAAGGATGAGCAGAGCCATCCCCTGGGAAGGAGAAAGGTACAGAATGCGTGGGCAGCCCTAACACAACATCCTGGTTACACAGGCGATGCTCCTGAGCACTTCCGGGATCTGCTGCTTTCTAAGCCTGGTCTGTGGACCTCTCGAGAAGCTGTCAACAATGCCCTACCTCTGATTAGATGGTCAAAGGGTCTGTGTCAGTTTCTCTAGGAACAGAACCTGAGCAAAGGATGTGCAGACAAGAAACTGTGAGGGAGAGAAGGAAGGAAGAAGGACTGTGTCAGCTCAACCTGCTGGTACTCCTCACACCCTGGAGGTCTGGTCTGGTTGATTTATCTCTCAGTCACTAGCAGAATGCTGCTCTGACGCTTTTGCTAGCCTGACTGGTGGGCCAGGGCTGACCCAGCTGGTGGCCAAAGCTCTGGGGCAGAACTGAAGTCACAGGATGTGACGAGTCACAGGATGTGACAAGCATGCGTAAGATGGCTGGTGATGGCAGAGGTGAGAGCGGTGGTCTTCTCAAAGTGCGGGTCCCAGACCAGTAGCATCACCATCATCTGGGACTTGTTAGAAGAGCAAATGAGCCTCTTCCTGCCTCCCTCTCCCCTCACCCCTCCACCCCACCCCCAGACAGTCTTATGTACCGCCAGCTGGCCTCCAAATCGCTGAGTAGCCAAGGAAGTTCCTGAGCTTCTGATTCTCCTGTCTCTTTTTCCTCAGTGTTGGGATTATAGGCATGCGACACCATGAGAAGTTTATGGGATACTGGGGTTTGAGCCCAGGACTTTGTGCACGCCAGACAAGAACTCTACTAACCAAGCTATATTCGCAGTCCCCAAATAAGCATCTTACCAAAATGAGCTATGAGATGCAGTCTGTGGACCTGCTCTGGATTCCACCTCCATCATCCTCCTGGCCCTTAGGGGACACAGGAGACAACTCAATCCCCCCAACACAGCCCTAACCCTTCAGGCTCAGACTGCAGCTCACATCTGTCCCTCACTCCTGAAATAGAAGCAGAGACACCCTAGACGGGAGACCCCTTGTTTACTGCTCTCCCAGCTGAACTAAGCTCAGGCTAACCCTTGAAATGCCAACACAACCTGGGGTGTAACCCTACTGCATTCCCAGAGGACAGTGAGGACCCATGGGCAGGCACCCTTATGTGCCAGAGGCTGATATGCGCTCTCATTCTTGAGTCCAAAAAGTGGGGGTTTCTTTTCCCCAGAAGTCCCTCCAAGGGACTCTCCTCTTTCCCTAGCCTACCTAACCCTAAGGCAGCTGTCAGCTAGAGAGACTTTTGAAACAGGAAGAAAAAAAAAAAAGGCAGTTGACGCCTCTGATGTCCCTTCTGAAATGTTCTCTGACTTGATTAAAGACCTTGGAGGGTGTTCAAGAAAGACATGATGAGTAAGAGCACACACGCCAGGTGTTTCTTCCCAACACCAGGGTCTTCCCTGCTGGCTTCATGTCCCTTAAGGTCAGGGGCTGCTTGTGGCCCGCACTGGGTTCTGGCACGGAGCCTGGTAGCCAGCAGGTGCTTAGGAAAACACTGTGTTCAACTTCCTGCTAAATCACCTCAGCTATGGTTAACAGCATGGTTCACAGAAGACTTTCTATATAGATTACCCCGTTTAACCCACAGCATATGGACTGGCTGCCATTCCCTCATTTAACAAACACGGTAAACAGGTTGAGGGGCTGGCTGGTTTGCCCGGGCAGAGTCAGTACCCAAGCTCCTTTGCCGTCCCAAGGAGTGACCTTCCAGGACACATCTCAAGTCCTCAAACTCTCCTCTGCATTTCCCCCTCCAGTCCTTCATAGCCAGGCATCAGGTGTCACGTCGGCTTCTCTGGTTGGAACTAATTAAGGACTGCACATCAAAGACTGGTTGTGAAACACATCTGTTCTCGGTGTTTCTAAGCTCTTGTTCAAATCCACACCCAGGAAGCCTCTGACCTGTGGCCCAGGGAACCCAGTGCTCATGTTCAGGCCGGTCTACTTCCTGACACTCGGAGGAGGTGGTTCAAAGCTTCAATGTCATCCTGGGGCTTGGGAGGAGACAATGGTCAGACCCACTCTGCTGGAGTCCGGGCTTTCCTGACATTTTAATGACCTTGAGGTGGGGGTGTGGCAAGAGGTTCCATCCATCGGGCCAGGAGCTGCACTTCACTTGCCGCTTCCAGAGCCACCCACCACAGGCGTGCTCCCATCATGCTTCTTGCTCTCCATGGCAGGAGGTTCAGTACTGCCTACAGCCCTGCCCCACACCGGTCACGATTTGTAATGATCATTTGGAGTGGAGGACGTGGGCCTGTGCATCTCACTCTGTGGAGCACAAATCCGGCACAGGGTCAGTGCCAACCTCCAAATCCAATGACCTCGCCCTCCCTGCCGACACCGCTCTGGAAAGAGTTACTTTTCTGGACCCTCCCCAGGAAGGCCTTCCCGGATCATGGTTTTTCCTGAGACCTGCCACGGAAGTCCAGACTTTTCTGGACTCCCTTTGCTCACTCCACGTGCCGCTCCGCTGCCTCCTGCTGAGTGTGCCCAGACAAGCCCAGGACTGAGCTGTGGTGGCCAACAGGGTGGCTGACGTGTTCATCTCAGACAGCTCCTCTCACGACATCCCTATGTCCCACCTGTCCACGGCAGGCCCTCCTCCCTCATGAAGTTCCTCCAGCTAATTCCTACTTCCTCACAACTCCCCAAGCTCCATCCCAGCCTTGCAGCCGACACTGACTTTCTCCAGGTCAGTCCTTCAGGCATCTGAACTTCTCCTGGACGCCCTTCTTCCAAGGCCAAGCAGTCTTTACCTTCTGCACCTTAACGCCATCTCTCCTGCCTCTTCTGTATCTTCCTGCCTTTTCTGCCTTTGCTTTTATTGCTACCGTCTGCTCTGGACTGAGAACTGTCAGTACCTCGAGGCCAAAGACAGTGGGTATCGGAAAGCCTCTGCACACTGCAGACAGTAGTCAACTGTGCTTATTCTCACTTCCCCATCGAGGTTTTATATTCACTCAGTAAGCTGCTTCTGTTTTTATTAAAACCAGACACAGTGGCACAGGCTGGCCCTCCTCCTAAGGGCTCCCACCACCAGACACTGAGTCGAAGAAGTACGTCACCTTGAGCGTGCAGGTGGGCCTTTCAGACCCATGTTCCATTCTGGGTTGTTTGCGGAAGCTACAGGTTCCAGCCAGTGCCAACAATTCCGCTACCTGTCCTGGCAGCTTCCCTGGTATTTGTGAGGACTACCTTGCAGTCAGCCATGAGGCAGCCACCCGAGGCCACTGAAAACACCGGAGAAAGAGGTGACACTTGATAACCTCAACTGCAAGGGAATACCTCTCTCAATTGTTACCCCAGGCTTCTTGCTGGGAAGAGAAAGCCAGTGCTTGGGAAGCAGAGGCAGGAAGATCAACACTTCAAGGTCATCCTTAACTATATAGCCAAGTTTAAGGCCAGTCTGGGCTACACGGGACAGAAAAAAATAGAAAGCAACTTCATTTGCTGATGCTTAAGCTACTGGCTACCAGAGGGTCTGGCAGTAAAAGTCATC